TGACAATTCATAATTCTGACTGCCGGAGGTCTTTCATGGAAGCTGCTCTCAACCTGGCGTTGGGGGCAGCCTACTACCTTACCTCCCCCTTACCCCATTACATATGGGAATATGGTCAGCTAATTTAGATCTAAGTTAAACAAATTATTTAATCATTTTACAAAATTAATAATTATCTAAATTAATTTTTAAAATAAAATCTAATAAATTAACAAGAATTTAAATTAATTAACCTACAATCTTTAAAATCATAAACTATAAAAGTTTTTAGAGAAGAGTTTGTTTATTTCATTGAAAATAAATGTTGTAAAATGAATTAATTATTTTAGAAAACAACTTTCCGATATTATTTTATTAATAGAATCAACTAGTTTTAATAAAAAAATGTAGAATTGTAATTAATATTTATGATTATAATCATAAACTAAACACATAACTAAGATAATTTTCTATAATAAAAGAAAACTAATCACTTAAGATCACATAATGATTATATAAAGAAAATGTTAAAAACCTAATAAAAAAACTCGATCAAAATATAGGTACGAACAAATCTCACAGCATCGGTAAACGAATTATAAAAGGAGAAAAAACTATTGAAATGCCACTGACAAACTATAAATCAGAGTTGAGTAACGTGAAAAAAAATCCACAAACCTAAACTGTGTATCCAAATTCAATCTGATTATCCAAAATAAGGAATATCAACATAATAAAAAATAAGAGACATCTTGATCAATCGTGACGAATGTCAAATCCGATCTTGAGAAAAGATAAACAAAAACAACAACCAAACAACCGAAAACATGCCAAAAGACAGAAAAACAAACCATAAAGACAGAGAAATAGGTGTCATAAAAATATAGTCGTTAAAAGTAATAAAAAAAGAACAAAATGAAATATGATTATTTTTAAACATTTAGATATATATATCATTTAATTATTTAATTTTTCTTTTCGATCAATATAAGTTAATTAACATTTTCGACATTATCATTTTAAATACTTGGTTCGTCATGACAGTTAAAAGAATCTATTACCATTTTAAGTTTATTTTGGTTTATGTTCGTTTAAAATTTTAATATCATGTTTGTTTGTTTGTTTTTTAAGATGATTGTGTTTAGCGTTTGCGAACATGTTCGTTTAACATTCACAAACATATTCGTTTAACATTCACGGACATGTTCTTTTAAATGTTTGCTAATATTTTTGTTTTTATTTTTACTTTTACCCTTTTATTTGCAAGTAAAAAAATCTTGAAATGATACCACTAGTCTTTAAGTTTTTTAGGCTTCAAAGTTCAATCTATGTTCAATTTAGTCTCTAACATCACTAATATTTAAAATGTAAAAAAAAATAAAAGGTAGAGAAGAACCGTGTAAACAAGATTATAAACGAGTCAGTAAAAGGACTTATAAATGAGACAATAAACAAGTTTTCGTGACATAAACGAACTGAACACATATATGTTTGTTCGTTTATTGAATTAACATAAAAATTTTGTTCATACATATTTATTTACCTTAATAAACAAACGTTATATGAAAGGTTTACCAACTGTTCATATGTAGATTTACACCTCTAGCTCCATATGATTTCACTTGATTCCTATATTGACATTTGGGATTCGAATCACTTAATTCTCTACGTGGGAGAGGATCCTACAACAGGTTCATTGCATGAAGCTGAATCAATCACAACTAGGTGCCATACATATCAACTCTCAACTCATCGAAGATAACAAAAATTTGAAAAAAGAAGTGGGATACATGCCATTATTTTCTAAAAGAAGAAAACCCAAAGCTATGAACGATCGACATTGTTAAAAGGTCAAGGTTTTGGATTGTTTATATAGCTTTAAGTAGAAGATGAACTAAAAATGGAAGAGCAAGATAGAAGGTGGTGAAGAGAGGCAAAGTCGTAGAAATGGAGTGTTTGTTTGTAAGGAAAATTTTTACGTTAATATTTTCTTTTGCTAGAAAAAAGTGTTTTGTAACTTGGTCTGCGCCTGCTGCATTGTGTTGCCAAAAATCCTCCAAATTTCATACTTAGCCCATTTTTGGTAAAATTGTCATTTTACCTTCCATACTTTGATAGTTTTACAATTTAGTATAAAAGCTTTCCTTCACTAATTAAAAAAAAAATCCTTCACTAAATACAAATTATCATATTTCAATTTGTCCAATATCATCTTTAATATCGAAATGTCACCCATTTCAACAACAAAGTGAATTGCATCGCCGCTCATTTTTGTTAGTGCCAAAACAAAATCAAATCCCAACCTTTTGGTATAGTTTTCAGAGTAATCATCGTTCAAAGGGGACCCCATACATCTTAATTATGAGCCGGATCTTAGATAGTCAGTAAATATTCTTCTTTTATATTTAATAATAAAAATATTTAAATAAGAAATTATTTTTAAGTAATAAACAAGTATTGTGAGTCAAGTTTGATTTAGGGTTCAATTAGATGTATTAAAAAATAATTATAGTGAATTATAATGACATGGTTTATTATCATATTTAGATTTAAATTATCCATGCACTATATGCTTATATATTTAAGGTTTATTTCATTTTACCTGAGTTGTCATTTACTGTTTAACTGAAATAATATTAATAGTTTGAAAACTTTCAATTAAAATGTATTAAAATTGAAAGATGAATAGGTTGAAAAGTAAATGAAATATGAATCCAAATCTAACTTCAGAAGTCTAAGTATGGTTACAATGGGATTCCTTTGTTTGCTCTACGATATTTCTTTTTATCCTTAATTAATGGACAAAATGAGCATCTTACTCCATTTTAGTAAAATTTTGAACTTTTATAAGACTTTACCACATTTTAACTATTTCTATATATACAAAAAAAAAATAATTATACGATTTGATTACAAGATAATACTTGTTCATAAATATTTTTAATCATTTGACAATATACATATCTCATATACATAATTATTTGAACTCGATTCCTCCAAAAAGAATAATACTCTCTTTTACTGCTTAAACCACTCCATAAATTTTATATTTAAAATTCAAAATACAAATATGGGATTCTTTTTTACGTCGTCGTCTTACTCTAGAAACTTGCACGCTACACAACATGAGAGGATTACTCTATCAAACTCCCCGAAACAAGGGGATGATGGTAGGCTCAGAGCAACTCAGTTCCATACTTCCATATACAAAAACCACCACCAGGCATATTATTATTACAATTATGAATCAAAGAATCTAACTATTTTTCTATTCTAAAAGCTCTTAACAGAATCTAAAGGTTCTCAAAACCTGATGATGATGATGGGTACCCATTGTTTCCCTCAGTTTATCCTCTCTCTTCCTTTTGGGTATAGCTAAAGAAGTCACAACTTTTGCCGCTAAAACCTTCTTCACAAGCACCTTCCACTTTGCATCATCATCCATCTTATGTTGTTGTGCTTTCACTTTGAATTGCATGTCTTCAAGGTGATGGTGAAGTTATAGAAGATCCTAGGTCAGTTAAAGCTTCAGTGATGGAGTTCTTCAAGAGGTTGTTTAATCATAAAAACACCCTGGAGGCAGAGGACTTAAATATGGATTTTCTTAAGCTCTCGGAAGGTCAGTGTTTAGCATTGGAGAAGCCTTTTTCTGAAGAGGTTTGGGAAGCTATTGTTCATTCTGATATCAACAAAGCTCCAGGTTTGGATGGTCTGAACTTAGGGTTTTTTTAAGAAGTTCTAGAATATTTTGAAGGATGATATGATACGGTTATTTAGGGATTTCTATGTGGGGAAGGAGTGGGAGCCGGAGGTGAATTTTTCCTTCATTTTTCTTATTCCAAAGAAGGCAAATCCAGAGGGGTTGGAAGATTTTAGGCCAATTAGCTTAGTGGGAGGTCTATATAAAGTTATTTCTGAGGTCTTAGCTAGAAGGTTGAGTTTGTGTATTAATGATATTATGAGTCCGTCCCAATTTGCTTTTATTCTGGGGAGGAACATCTTGGACTGCTCTTTTATTGCAAATGAGAGTATTGATTTTTGGAGAAAGAGAGGGCTGAAGGGAGCAGTCTTCAAGGTGGATTTTAAGAGAGCTTATGACTCGGTGGATTGGAAAATTTTGATACAAATAATGAGCAAAATAGGGTTTGGTGATAAGTGGAGGTCATGGATGTACCAATGCATGTCAACTGCTGAGATTTTGATTTTAGTAAATGGGTCTCCTACGGAGAAATTTCATACATCGCTTTCACCTATTCTTTTCAACTTGGCTGTTGAGTTGCTGCATTTGTTGTTAACCAAAGCAGTGGATTTTGGACTGTTTTCGGGGTTTGATTTAGGAGTGCAGGACTGAGCATTCAAGCTGTCACATCTTCAATTTGCGGATGATCTTATAATTTTCAGTAAAGGCTCTATTCGTGAGTTGAGGAATATTAGAAGAGTGTTACTTATTTATGAGCTTCTGGTGGAGTTGAAGTTAAATCTAGGCGAAAGCATCATTTTTGGAGTAAATGATGAAGATGGGGAGTTAACTACTTGGGTAGACGTTATTGGCTGCTCGGTTGGATATCTTCCATCTGAATATTTAGGATTGCCTCTGGGGTATAAGAGGAATTTGGTTACTATGTGGGATCCTATAGTGGCGAGATTTCATGCTAAATTGAGTGGTTGGATAGCTAATTCTTTGTCGATAGCGGGAAGGGTGGTTTTGGTCAAATCGGTGCTTTGCTCTCTACCATTCTATTTTCTTTCTATGTTCAGAATTCCAGCTGCTGTGCTACTTAAACTTAACTCTATCATGGCTTCATTTATGTGGGGGGGGGGTTCGGTTGACAAGAAAAAAATCCATTGGGTCAACTGGAAGTCGGTTACTAAACCAAAAAAACTAGGGGGTCTAGGATCCCTAATCTAGCACTAATGAACCGAGCCTTACTAGGGAAATGAATATGGAAGTTTACTTCTGAAAAGAAGTCTTGGTGGAAGAGAGTGGTTTGTGCTGTTGTTTGGATCCAAATTCCATTATTATGGGGAATTCGTGGCCAGCTCGTACATCGTGGATTTGGAAAGGTGTGGTGAAAAACTTCTTTAACAGTGATGATTTTGGAGATTGTCTTAGAAGGAATACACGTTTGAAGGCAGGAAATGGGGAAGCTATGGAGTTTTGGAATGATGTATGGTTGGGTGACGTTCCCTTGAAAATTTTGTTTCCTAGGCTTTATGTTCTATCAAATAATAAAGCGGGTAAAGTGATGGAGTTTATGGTGAATAATACCTCGGGTTGGGTGTGGGACATCCAAATGAGAAGGTATTTGGCTGACTGGGAAATTGAACAGTGGCTACAATTGATCATTATGTTGAATAATACCTCCCTTTTTCCTGCGGAAGATGATTGTTGGATTTGGTTAAGGAATGATGAAGGAATTTTCACAACAAAGTCTTGTATAAACTCTTTCTTTGACCAAGGTGGTTTTGAGCAGAATCATGTGAATTGGGAAAAGAATATTTGGACAGGGTTAGCTCCTCTAAGGGTGGAAATGTTTATTTGACAATTGGTGCAGCAAAGAGTACCGGTTAAAGAGGAGTTAGCAAAGAGAGGTGTTGCAGAGATTGTTGATCAGCTTTGTGTTTTGTGTGGTCGGGAGGTGGAATCAATTTCCCATTTATTTCTTCATTGCAGGGTTGTGTGGGGTCTGTGGTCTTCATTCTTGAAAATGTGGGATGTGTCATTGGTGATTCCAAAGTGTTCCATGGATTTTTTAATTTTGTGGGATGATTTTATGAATAACTCTTTGATTTGGAAATTCATTCCTAGGGCAGTGATGTGGTCAGTTTGGAAATGTAGAAATGAGATTATCTTTCGGAAAGTAAAGCTGGATTTGGTCAGATTATCTTTCATTATAAGATTTAGAGTGGCTTCCTGGTTTAGTGCTTGTTTTAAGGATGTGGGTATTCCTTTAGATTCTCTAGTAGGTGATTTGAAACTTGCTGATTCGGCAGGCAGATCAGGAAGGGGTTGCTCTCGATCAGCTTGATGAGTTCCTCCACCAGATAGGTTTCTAAAGTTAAACGTTGATGGAACGATGGTTTCGGGGTGGGAAAAAGGTGTTATTGGTGGTCTGATTCGGAATAGCAGAGGACTATTGCTACAGTGGTTCTCTGAATCAGTAGGGGGTGGTCCTTCTATCTTGGCAGAGTTGTTGGCAATTAAAAGAGGGATTTTTCTTATGGAGGAGTTGGATTTGGTCCCAAATCAGAGATTTATCGTGGAATCAGACTCATCTACCGCTCTGAAGTGGATCCAGAATCCGGGTTTAAGCCCCCATTTGCATCTATCCTTGGTGAATGATATAGTTTCGCTTTTGACTGGAAAAGATATTATATTTAGGCATATTTTGAGGGCGGCAAACTGGGAAGCTGACAAACTAGTTAAAGATGGGATAGGGTGATTTTTGGGTTATTTGATCGTGTTGATTAGCAGAGTGTATTTTCCTGTTTGTTAGGTGGTTTGTTTTAAGTCTTATGTTCTTCAGTAGAAAGTCTAGGAGTTTGTTCAGTCTTTGTAATTTTGCTCTTGTGAATAAAAGTTTCTTGGCACGCTTTTCCTCTGTTCCTTCATGTTACCTTCATAACATGGCAGGGCTTGAAGGAGGTTTTTAATGAGGCCTACTTTCTATCAAAAAAAAAGAGGAAAAAGACATCCTACACGATTTTACAGAAAACAACTCCTCCCCTACTCCATCCCATAGCAAACAATCCTCCATAGAATCAATTAATTTAATGTCTTTAAGTCTACCCAATAACTCTACCAACTGAACCACTTCCCAATCACAGAGATTCCTCCTCGTTTTAATATTCCACTTCCATCCATTAGAATCAAAGCTCCCAAAATCAGCAACATTGCCCCATTGTATTGGTGAAAGTGCAAAAATCCTAGGAAAAATAACTTTCAATTGAAAATCCCCTAACCAAGTATCATTCCAAAAGGAGATCGATTTGTCATTCCCTACATGTAATTTCGCATGGGCTCTAAGGCAACCTCCAATAAAATCATTTTTGATGAAGTTATTAACAATTTCCCTCCAAATCCAAGATTCCTTGTGAAAAAAGATTTTGGTAATATCCATGAAATTATAACTAACATCGTGTTTGCTACATATGAAACTCTTCCACATGGAATTTTTCTCATTAGCAAACTTCCACACCCACTTTCCCAACAAAGCTCTATTAGTAGATTTCAAGTCAGCAACTCCCAGACCTCCATAACTCAATGGTTTGCAAATCTTATGCCAACTTACCCAATGCATTTTTTCTTCTCAACCCCTCCACCCCATAAAAATACCGCCATGAAAGAATTTAACTTGTGACATATACTTGATGACATCTTGAACAAAGATAGATAGAAGACATGTAAGGATGATAATACTGACTTAATAAGCACCAATCTGCCTGCCATTGACAAAGAGGAAGCTTTTCATCCCGCTAATTTCTTATTGAAGTTGTCAATAACCGGCTCCCATAATTTCTTTTGCCCCTAACGAAAGGCCTAAATATACAGGCGGAAATGAACCAATAGTACATCCAATAGCCGAAGCCCAATCCTCCAGGATATTCTCCTCCACATTAATGCCAAAAAGTTTGCTTTTAGCTAAATTAAGATGAAGCCCCGGTCATTAAGCTAAAAATCCTCAAAACTCTTCTAACATTCTTAATCTGAGTAATGGAAGCTCCACAGAAAATAATTAAGTCATCTGCGAACTGAAGATATGACAAAGTGAAGTTGTTTTGGTTCTTGCCAAATGAAAACCCTTGAAATAGGCCAGTTTCCACAACTTTCATTAACATCATATGAAGTAATTAACCAACCATATTAAACAAAAGAAGAGAAAGATTGCATCCTTGTCTCAAGCCTTTAGCAATTGGAAACTCCTCTGTTGGTGACCCATTAACTAAAACTGAAATTGAAGCAGTGGAAATACACTGGGAAATCCAAGAACACCACCTGTCACCGAAACCCATGTCTTTCATTATCTTTAGAAGAATCTTCCAGTCCACTGTGTCATATGCTCTGCTGAAATCGAATTTAAAAACAACTCCTCTAAGCCCTTGTTTCCTCCAAAAGTTGATGCCTTCGTTAGCTAAACATGCGTAATCCAACAATTGCCTCCCCGGAATAAAAACAAACTGAGTTGGGCTTACAATATCATTAACACATGATGAAAGTCTCTTTGAAAGAACTTTTGAGAGAATCTTATATAAGCTCTTCGGACTGGGTTTGGGATGTGCAATTTCGAAGGAATTTAAATGACTGGGAATTAGAGTAGTGGGCTAATTTGATGGCTGTCATTTCCTCTATTTTATTATCAATGGAGATTTCTGATGAGATGATTTAGAAAGGTACTGGGATGGGGTATACACTGTAAATTCTGGTATGAAGTTATTTTCATCAGATTCTTTGGGTTCGGAGGACGTCCACTTTTGGAAGAAGATTATTTGGAGGGGTGACTTGTCGCCAAGAGTGGAGTCTTTTATGTGGCAGGTTGTTTATGGTAAGCTGGCTGTTAAGACAAAACTTGTTAAAAGAGGTGTTTAAGGTATTGAAGACGTGGTATATCCTCTTTGTAAGTTGGAGGACGAGTCTTCCTAACATTTGTTTTTCTCGTGTTCGGTGGTTTGGGTTATTTGGAACAAAATTTTGAATTTATGGAGGAAAAAGACTGTTTTTCATGATAATGCGGAAATCTTTCTTCTTGCTTGGGCTGCTTTGAAGACTAACTCTCCAATTTGGTCTTTAATTCCAGGGGTCGTCCTTTGGACAACTTGGAAAATAAGGAATCTAATTGTGTTTGAGGGGGAAGTTAGATATGGCTGAATATTTCTTTTTAGCAAGGTTTAGGCTTGCTTCTTGGTTCCTAGCAAAGCACAAAGAGGTTTCTATCCCTAAAGATTCTCTTATTTCAGATCCTTCTTTAGGGGACTCGTGTTCTTTTAATGCCAAACAGATTGTTTCTGTTTCTCCTTGGTTCCCTCCTCCTAAAGGTTTTGTAAAACTTAATGTTGACGCAGCTACTATTAGAGATTGAAAGAAAAGTGGGATAAGAGGAGTTTTAAAGGATTCCACAGGGTTGACCTTAGGCTTTTTCAAGGAAACTACTGGTCCGGGGCCTTCGACCTATATAGAATTAAAAGCTATTCAGAAGGGGTTGGTGTTCTATGCTGATTTTCGAGAGAGCTTCAAGGACCGTTTGATTATTGAAAGTGACAACAAGGTGGCAGTAGATTGGATTAAGGAGGTGGAATTATTTCCTGATGTTTATGCTTTTATGGTTAAAGATATTGTTCATAGGCTTGATGTATTACATGGTGTTGTTAAATGGGTAAATAGAACAACCAATTTAGAGGCTGACGCCTTAGCTAAAGAAGGATTTGGCTGATTTAGTGTTGTTCACTATGGGTGTTTATTGTATTTATGTTTTTCATGGGGGTGTTTAGTAGGTTGTATCTTATGTAATTTCTTTTGTTCAATAATATCGTAAGGCACTCTTTTCCTCCTTCCGCTGATTAAGGAGCTTCTCTACAAGCTTCTTTAATAAAGAAGGGGGTTTTTAACGAGGCCTGGAATTCTTATAAAAAATATATTCTCTGGATTACCTTTCTTAGGAATCAAGGTAATAAATGCATAATTTACCCCATGAACCTACTCCTTTCCTTTATAGAAATATGGAAAAAAAAACTCCATGATTTGCTCCTTCAAATTCATCCAGTATTTCTTGTAAAAGCCCATGGTAAAACCATTCGGGCCAGGAGCTTTAGAACTTACAGAGGAAGCAATTGCTTGCTAAACTTCTTGCTCCGAAAATTCTTCTTCAAGACAATCCCTTTGAACTACTGCCAGTTGCTTAAAATCAAAATGTAAGCCGACAACTTCCAAAGTTGATTTAGCGTTATATGCATTCTTGAAGAAGTTGAACACACTTGTTTTTATCTGTTCTGGATCTAAAATTACTCCCCCTTCAGACTTCAATGAATGAATGGTATTAATTCTGTTTCTCTTCAAAGTAGTAAGGTGAAAAAATCTTGTATTTCTATCTCCATCTTTAATCCATATAGTTTTGGACTTCTGAAACCAGATCCTCTCCTCAATTCTCAGCAGCCTCCATAACTCTTTTTTAAATTCAATCAGCCGATCCCACTCCCCTGAAGACAAACTTCCACCATGTGATTTTCTATCCAAATCATTGATTTTAAATTCCAGCAGTGAGATGGAATTTGCAAGCCCTCTGTGACTGCTTCCAGCCCAATTTTTGATTTTATTTTTGGCAGCCTGTAGCATCCTGAAAATTCCCCCTCTACTTTTCTTCTTTTTCTCCACTGCCATTGATTCTTTAACCAATTCATCAAATCCTTGTTCTTCTAAAAGAAAATTAAAGAACCTAAAAGGTTTAGGTCCCCAATTTATAGAAATATCCTCCAATAAAATTGGATTGTGGTCTGAAAGTGATTTCGGTAGAAGACATTGTACAATATTAGGAAAACTGTTAAGAAATCTAGCACAAATTAGGAACCGATCTAGTCTAACCCATATTGAAGATTCTCTATTGTTACACCATGTGAAAGTTCCTCCTGACAAAGGCAAATCAATAAGATTAGCTTGTTGCACAAATGATCTAAGGATATCGATGGAATTCCAGTTTTGTGATTTCCCTTGCTTTACATCTGTATCAAGATACGTATTGAAATCTCCCCCAATACATACTGGTAAATTCTAAGAAATTACATATTGCAGCAACTCCCCATAAAATTCTTCCTTTTCAGATTCGATAGAAGGCCCGTAAACATTAATAAAAACAAACTCCATTTGACCATTCATCAATTTCCCCACTAAGTCCAGAAACCTACTGTGAACATGCTGGCGTATGACTTGAACCACACTTTCATTCAACAGAGTTTAACACTATTTTAAAAAATAATTATGTTGTAGTTTTGGTATCATTTGACCTTGGAACTTCTTTTCTGTTCATTGTAGGATTTCATTTTCCGATCATGTTGCTGTTAGGCATTCTTTGGAGATCATCTCTGAATTGGCCATAAGAGACCCTTAGGCAATAGCAATGGCTTTAGGTGAGGTCTTTAAATTCTTAAAGATTTCAAGTATGAGAAGGAAATTAATGGTACAACTATTAAAGATTTTATAATGCTTTTTTATTGTATTACTATGTTTTATTGGTGTGATTGCTATTTATGCTATGGGTCCTTTGGGTTATATTTGGTATTGGTATTTGATGGCTGTTATCTCTGATTTTTCTATTTCTGTTGATGCTGTTGATGGACTGTTTTGGAAGGGGACTGGAGAAGGGGTTTTCACTGTTAAATCATGTGGCAATCTATATTATTCGGGTACTTCCGATTCGGATGAAGCTAAATTTTGGAAGTTTATTGTTTGGAGGGGCCTGTTGCCTCCAAGAGTAGAGACTTTTCTTTGGCAAGTTATCTTAAAGAAGTTGGTAGTGAAGACAGCACTGGTTAAGAGAGGTGTTCAGGGCATAGATGATACTTTGTGTTCTTTTTGTAATCTAGAAGAAGAGCCTTCATCTCATCTATTTTTTTCATGTTCGGTTGTTTGGCCAACATGGACTAAATTCATGGGCTATTGGAATTTTCAGTCTCTTTTTCATGAAGATGCTAAAATATTCCTATTAGCATGGAATGACTTGAAGACCAACTCTCTTATTTGGTCATTTATCCCTGGAGTAGTTTTATGGACAATTTGGAAGACCATGAATTTTATAGTGTTCGAAAGAGGAAAGCTTGATCGAGCAGAAATTTTCTTTCTAGCAAGGTGCAGGCTTGCTTCATGGTTTCTAGCTAAGGAAACTCAGATTTCTATCTCCAAGGATGATCTTATTGCTGACCCTTCCTTAGTGGATTCCTACTCGTCCCATTATAATCGGATTTCAACTAAGTTTCTTTGGTCCCTCATCCAAAGGGTTTTATTAAACTTAATGTGGATGCGGCTACTTCGAGTGATTGGAAGAGGAGTGGTTTAGGTGGTATTCTGAAAGACATGTCTGGTTCGATTCTTAGCTCTTTCAAAGAGCCTGCTGGTCCGGGGCCTCCAAATTTGATGGAATTGAAGGCTATCCTAATGGGTTTAGATTTTTATGAATCTATTCGTCATAGGTTTAAAGATAGATTGATTATTGAGAGTGATAGTAAGGTGGCAATTGGCTGGGTTAAGGATGTTGTTTCATGTCCTGTCGTTTATGTTCAAATTGTTAAAGACATTATTCAAAAGCTTAGTGTTTATGAAGGTCTTATTAGATGGGTTAGAAGGACATCCAATATAGAGGCGGATGCCCTAGCTAAGGCTGGTATTGGTTGATAATTATGTTCTGTTAATGGTTGTTTCTTTCTAGTTTTGTATCTCTTGAGGGAGATTAGTTTGTATTACTTTGTAATTATTTGAGGTTAATAAAATCCTAGGGCACTATTTTCCTCCTTTCGCTGATGAAGGAACTATTTTCAAGTTCCGTTGATCATGAAGGGGGGTTTTTAATGAGGCCTACTATTCCTATCAAAAAAAGGTTTTAAGTTTAGGTTGTTAATGACAATATAATTTAAGTTTCAAGTAGCTTTTTTGGTGATTGTGATGTGAAGAAATTCCAAGAGAAATTGTTATGATGGTGTGTTTGGGAATTATATCCGTCGGAGGGAGACTGAAACCTTTTAACCCATCAAAGGGAGAGTGAACTTTAGGACTTGTTAAAGAGAACCAAATCTATTGGGGTTTATGATATAAATTCTGCTTATGGTTTTATTTAGTCATATGCCCCTTTAGATAAAGACTAGTCTTATTGCATAAATAGAAGATGGAGAAGGAGCTTGTCCTGAATCTTGAAGAGAAATAAATCAATTGAAAAAAAATATAACAAAACTTAAATGAAAGAAATAAAAGGATAATCTAAAACTTAATTAAAGAACTCAAATTAATGACCTTTCCTAACATAGGTTGGGTCCTTAACATTATTCTCATCCTGGAGAAAGAGCTTGTCCTCAAGCTTGAAGTCATGATAAACTTGGTGAAAGCTCCCTTCCATTACTAATGATCAAAATTGGTGGGAGTCTTGAACCTTCCAACCAAGCCTTAAAGGCCTGAACAAATGAATAACAAAGATGGAACTCTAGAAAACTTAAGGTTCTAGAAATCCTCTAGTTTCCATTGTTAATTCTACAAAATATGAAGTAGTAGCTGTAAATGTTTTACAGCTTATTTGTACTAGGTTACGAATAAATTTTTAATCCTAGCCATAGATTTAAGCTCTAAAAGTAACTAATAATACTAGTCCTAGCCGTCTATCATTTGTTAATAACTGATAAATAAAATAACATGAATCACATGATAGTTATAATATAAACTTCCTGTATGCCGGTCATATATACATAAAAAGTAAACTTTAACTAGAAAGAAAATGCACTTAAAATATCTCCTATGATAAAGAATCAAATATCTGTACATAATCCTCTAATTTAGCCTATCAAATCCCAAGATTCTTGGAATAAGAGAGATTTCCACATGCTGCAATAATGAATTTGTGATTCTGATAATTTTTTTATAGAAGTTGGAGGTCTCATTAAAAACCCCGTTTGTAATTGACCCTTTCGAAAAGGAAAGGTTCAAACAGTGGAAGGAGGAAAAGAGTACCTCGTTTCATTAATAACAAAAAGATACATTAAAAAACCTTTACAAAACAGCCTGTTCTCATCCAATCCCTGCCTTAGCTAACTTATCGGCTTCCCAATTACAACTCCTAGGAATTAACTTCAGTATCCCCTGGACATAACATAAGACTCAATTTTGTTAATTAAATTTCTAAAAAACACTGGAGAGATACTGGGCAACTGAACCCAATCCGCTGCATTCTTGCAATCCGTTTCCAGAATTAATCTGCCCTTAGAAGCCCAAATAGATGAATAGAAAATGCCAACAACTTTTCTAATAGCCTTCAACTCTGCTAATGGGGGAGGACCTGGACCTAATCTCTCTGAAAACGTCTCTAGAACGAAACCATTAGGATTTTTGAGGATACCCCCAATGCCACCTATCAACCCATCCTTTCTAACAGCACCATCGACGTTAAATTTAAAAAAAATCAACAGGTGGTGTGAGCCATTTATGAACAGTCTTGCTTGTAGTCTGTAGACCCTTATAACCATCCGCTAAAGTGGGATCAGCTATTAGCGAGTCCACCGGAATCTGCACTTGATGAAACTTAGCCAGAAACCATTTGACTAACCTGACCTTGATGATGAAGAAAAGTGAAGATATGTCCAAAACCATATTTTTAAAAACAATAGAATTCTATAATTCCATATCGACCAAAGAACCACTGCTGGAACAAAATTCCAGATCATTGAATTAGCCACCAAATCAGACCAGGAACTAATAAGGGAGCAAATATCCCCAGGAAAAATTGTGCTAACGTTCCACAGATTGAGAACATTAGTCCAGACCTCGTGAGCCACTGGGCATACAATAAATAAATGTTCAACCGTTTCTGCACTTAACAAACACAACGGACAAAGCTCTCCATTAGCTAACTGGACCCCCTGTTTTTCAACTGAGATTTAACTGCCAATTTTTGGTGTGAAACTTGCCAAAGAAAGGATTCTATTCTAGGAAGAACCAAACCTGTCCAAACACAATTCTTCCAAAAAGGATTCACCACTTGGTCAATCCCTATAATCCTTCTACAAGAGCTCACAGTGAACATACCATCTCCCTTCCCTGTCCACGATAAAAAGTCGTCCACTTCCTCTGTTAGCTGAAAATTGTTCAATTTGATAATTAATTGCAGCCATTGCTCTAACTCCCAATCACATATGTTTCTTCTTGTACGAATATCCCAAATCCAGCCATTCGAGACATAATTACCAAACTCTCTAACCCTTTCCAATTTATTCGTGGACAATACAAAGATTCACGGAAACTGAAATTTCAGCGGAGTACAATCAGCCCATACATCATTCCAAAAACAAATAGATTTGCCATTCCCCACTTGGATTCTAGAATGAGATCTTAGCCTCTCACCAATTACATCATTCTTCAGGAAACTACTAACAATTCCCTTCCAAATCCAAGAGTCTTGTGAAGAATACACACTATTAACCGACATAGTCGAACTATCCAAATTGTGTTTACAACAAATAAAATTCTTCCACAAAGTGTCATTCTCATTAGCAAATTTCCAAATCCATTTCCCTAGCAGAGCCCGATTAGAGATATTTAAATCTAAGACCCATAAGCCTCCTTCATCTTTCGAACGACACACCGTTTTCCAATTCACCCAATGGATATGCTTCTTCTCTGAACCTTCTCCCCATAAAAAACTAGCCATCAACGAATTCAATTTCTGACTGACTTTACACGGCAATTTAAAAATAGATAAGAAAAAAATCGACAGAGATGATAAGACCAATTTCAGTAAGACCAACCTACCAGCCATGGATAAAGTCGAAGCTTTCCAACCTGCCAATTTATTGTTAAAACTGGTTCCCACAAAACCTCTGAATTCTTCTTTTCCCCTAACGGCAAACCTAGATATACTGTTGGGAATGAACCCACAGAGCACCCAATGGAGGATGCCCAATCTATTAGGGTAGCTTCTTCAATATTGATCCCATATAAATGATTTTCCGATAAATTTAGGTCTAGCCCAGCCATCAAACTAAACATACTCAAAATTCGTTTAACATTTCTGATTTGCACAATGGAAACAGTGCATAAATTTATTAAATCGTCTGCAAACTGAAGGTGTGACAACTGGCAAGAATAGGCAGACCCTCCAACTGTAAAGCCATTAAAAAGACCCATATTTACCGCTTTAGTCAACATTAAATTAAGTAACTCCCCAACCAAATTGAACAAGATTGGAGAAAGGCTGCAACCTTGTCTTAAGCCTTTAGACATCGGAATCTCCTTTGTGGGTGTACCATTCAACAAAACAGAAACCGACGTAGTAGAAAGGCAATACGAGATCCACAAACACCATCTTTCACCAAAACCCATCTCCTTCATGATTGTGAGTAGAATTGGCCATTCAATCATATCATATGCTTTGCGAAAATCTGCTTTAAAAACAACACCTTTCAGACCTTTTTTCCTCCAATAATCTATAATTTCATTAGTGATAAAAGCACAATCTAGCAACTGTCATCCAGGAATGAAGGCGAATTGCGAGGAGCTGACAATGCCTTCAACACACGATGTGAGTCTTTTGTATAAAACTTTAGACATGATTTTATACATGATTCCAACGAGACTAATCGGTCTATAATCTTCCAAACATATTGGATTTAGTTTCTTCGGAATTAAGATTATGAAAGAGTGATTGATACCATGCTCCCAATTCCTATTCTGATAAAAATCAGCAAAGAACTTCATCACCGAATCCTTCAGAAAATGCCAACACCTCTTCATAAATCCCATTGTTTGCCCATCCGGACCAGGCACCTTATTACTGTCTGAACTCGAGATCGCTTCCCAAACTTCTTGTTCTAAAAACTGCACCTCTATTCGCTCCCTTTGATCAATAGATAATTTGGAAAATCCAAGATTCAAATCTTCCACCTCCAAAGTTGTAACACAGTTGAAAGCCATTGTGAAAAAATATGTTACATGGTTTTTAATTTGATCGAATTCGAAATCTCCTGTCCATCAATTATCAAAGAAGAGATAGAGTTCAATTTTTTCCCTGCTCGAGGCACACAGATGAAAAAACCTCGTATTCTTGTCTCCCTCCTTAATCCATTTAGCCCTTGACTTTTGAAACCAAATCCTCTCATATATCCTGTACAACCTCCAAAGCTCACTCTTTAAGAGCGATAACTGCCTCCAATCTTAGGGCGAAAAACTATTGTTCTGTAAGTTTAACTCCATATCTATAATTTTGTTATCTAGCATCGAAGTAGAGTCTGAAATCATTGTATGCCTACTGCCCGACCAGATTTTAATCGCCTTTTTTGTACCTTGCAGAATACTAAAAATGCCTCTACGATTATTTTCCCTGTTAAAGTTAAAAATTGTAGAACTGACCAACTCTTCAAAACCCTCTTCCTCTAGTAAGTAATTGAAGAATCTGAAAGGTTTAAGGCCCCAACTCAAACGATTCTCTTGAAGCAAGACCGGATTATGATCCGAGAGAGACTTTGGAAGAAGACTTTGAACTATGTTCGGGAAAGAAATCAAAAAATCTCCATTAATAAGAAAACGATCCAATCTAACCCACGTTGGACACTCCCTATTGCTGCACCAAGTGTACCTTCCACCCACTAATGGAAGGTCCATTAATTCAGTTTGTTGAACAAAGTTCCTGAATAGCTCAATCGTGTGCCAATTTTGAAACGCCCCCAACTTCTCATCCGTCTGTAGATAGGCGTTAAACTCTCCTCCAATACACACTGGGACATTTAGGTCTACTACAAACTCCTTTAACACATTGAAAAAAGCCTCCTTATCCTCCTCAATAGAAGGGCCATACACATTCAAAACTGCACACTCCACCATTGACGATTTAAAAGAACCCACGATTACTATGAATCTGCTGAAAGAAAAAAATTGTTTAACGACAAACTCATCCTCATTCCACATGCACAATAATCCTCCAGCAGCACCCACTGATGGAGAAAAATTAAACCCTTTAAGCCAAGGCCCCCTATTCTTCTTCTTAAGGCAAGCTGAAACTGATCACGCTTGGTCTCCTGTAACAACAAGATAATTGGTATGCTCTTCTTTACAAGTCTGGCTACTGCACTGACTTTTTCTTGTCTACCTAGACCCCTAATATTCCATGATAACAAGCTTATATTCGACATAACAGAAACTAAAAACAGAAAACACAACCTAGCAGAACAAAGAATAAGCCTAAAACTTCTTCAACCCCCCTTCAACTCCAACTCCTCGATTTTATCCTCTAAAATCTGTTGTCCCCCTTTAAAGGAGATTCCCAACAAGTCACAAACCTCCCTAGTAGCTACAACTTCGATTCTAGATTCAACAGAAGCTTGAGAAGACTGAGAGGTCGCCCTGAATTGTTCCAAAGACTCTCTGACCATACTGTTGATCACCCTTCTATAAACTCTATCAAAAAAAACTTATAGACACTTCACCCACGGAGCTCGCACTTCTCGAAAGACATGGAGCAATTCTAAGCTTTCTATGGTTAGTTAAACATTTTGACCGAGACAAATTTTCTAAAGCTGGAAAATTCTCCTCAGCCAAAAATTTACCATCCAAAAAACTTCCTGAAGAAATTCCATCACGATTAACATTTCTTCTGTCTCTAACACTCATATTAGAGAAACTGCCCTCTTCAAAACTGACCATATTATTCTCCATAACCATCTTCAATTTCTTTGAATCGACCTTATTAGCAGCAGAAAAGTTATTCCTCTCTAAGCCCATATGTAACTGTGAACCCAAATCAAGAATCCCATGAGGACTCCTCTGACCATCCGAGAGCTCCTTAGCCATTTCGCCAACCTACTCCCCAATTCCCATTTTCTTCTCCCCTCCTGTAATCATTCTCGACTGCCTAAAAATGTCATCTTCCGCGACTAACAAGGAGTTGGCTTAAATATGATTTGGATTAAGTGAAGAAATACCTCCTGTCCTTTTAAAATTATAATCTGGCCCATAAGTGCAAGATGATTTAGTCGATGAAGAAGAGCCCATGTTATCCTCAGATTGGGTCTTATCATTCGGGTCAGCATTTCTCAAACCCAGACCCACGTGACACCCATTATCATTCTTTTGTCCTATCGACTTTGGATTAAAAGCAGGCCCAGAAAGAAAAATTTTCATAATTGGAGAAACAACTGCCCCATTATCATCTGAAATGACAATATTGTCTGAGACCATTATATCCCTCAATCCCAGACCCACGTGATCCTGCTTCTGATTTATATCTGACAACCCACAGTCACTAACTTCTTCAGTTGACTTACTCGATGAAACTTGTTCCCCACTAACTCCATTCACACCCCCATTTTGACTACTTTTCAGTAAAGATGCTACTTTTTGTCTGGACTCCTCTGAACCATCTCGATTATTAGCTGCTGCCAGATCTGAAAACTGCCCATCCCCCTCTACTGACAAGACAAAATCACTATTCAGATTATTTGAAATTTTTACTCCCATCTTCCCCCCATTATTTCTGGATTAGAAAACACAGACCCCAGGGATATCTTCACTTTGAAAGTTCTTCCATAAGAATCTATTTTGATCAATTCAGGGATGTCAAAAGGACTCTCAACCCTGAGCAATACTTTTGCCGACGAAAGATCTAATCTGCTCTTAGATTTGTCATTAAGACAAATATATTCTCCCCATCTCCCAGTAAGTTCTTGTAAGAATGCCTCATTCCAGCGCAGTAAAGGCAAGCCTAAAAACTAAATCTGACAAAAGGCCATTGGAACTCCTTCATCGTTCAAAACTGGAGCTAACCAATCGAAGCATAAGCACAACTCTTTTTTCTTATTTCTCCATGCAAATGATAGCTCATCTACTGTATTAAAAGTAATGTTGCAGGCCTTCCATGCAAAACCCCAACTCGATATCTCAACTGACACTCCTTCGAGATCCAAAGCTTCCTTTATCACAACCAGCTCCAAATAAGGTTTCATGGTTTAAGTGTTCTCATATGACTTGCAGCCTTTATGAGTGCCTAATACCTGTTTCATTTTTATGCAGGAAAGCTTGTTGCTCCAGGAGGTACTTCATTTCAATCATTCTTCTCCATATTGTCATTGTTTGTCTTTTCTCACTATAATGATTGTTTTGTCCTATGCTATTTTGAAAGTTCTGATATTTATGGATTTTCAGTCTATTCAGAGCAGCCAAAAGGGTAAACATTGGTTAAAATTATTGTGCCTAAAATAATTAGAAAAAAATTCATTCTTCTGGTCATAAGAAATAGTATTTGATAATGGCGTAAAATGACAATTGATAAAGTTATTTATGTCATGTAAAGTTTGTAGTAGGGATGTAAATGAGACGTTTTCGCAAGCTACTTGAGTTTGACTCAATTCTTTTTGAACTCGATTCGATATTTATGGAGCTGAGCTTGAGCAACTCAAGTTCTCGAGTTAGCTGAATTTGAGCATATTAATACTCAAGTTGAGCAGCTCACCACCTAGCCAAGCTTTTCATTTTTAATATATATATTTTTTAAAAATGTATTTTTTAAATTTCCTTGCTGTTGAATTTTTTTGGGTACTGCATGAATCAGGGGCACTGCTGGATGTTCTACATTTGCATGATGTGCTTGCTAGAGTTTCTCTAGCCATGTTGTGCCATACAATATCTACAGCTCGTTCTTTAGATGGTAAGTGCATTTGAATAGTCCTTTCTTGCATTTATTGAATGCCCTAGATGACTGGTTTCACAATCGTGTTTGGGTAGAGCGGCCTGACATTAAATCTCAGTTCAACTCTGTGCTCTATTAACTCCTGCTGGTCCCCAGTGAAAGAGTCTGTTTTGAGGCAATTCTCTGTATATTAGGTAAACGTGATAACACTGAAAAGTATGCTCTTGGTCTTATTTCTCTTCTGTAATCATAATTCTTTTGGATGGCTGTTGCTGCTGCTTAAATGCATCATTTTCACAAGTTCTGGTCTTTCATCTACATGCATTAGGGCAGAAGAGCGTGCTGCAGGGTGGTACCGTTTAACCAGGGAGATTCTGAAGTTACCAGAAGCACCATCAAATTCCAAAGACAAATCTCAAAAGACAAGGCGCCCACAACCCCTCATTGAACTTTTAATGAGAAGGTTTGTAAAGTTCTTTTCTCTTTCTGTCTATTTTATGGTTGAACCCAATATCATTATAGTGCTGGATTATTTTTAAAGATGTTGCTATTTGAATCACAAAATAGTCAGATATTGAACCCAGTTGTCATCCATGTTTCATGGTTTTCACATTCCATTTTAATCAGGTTGGAGAGTTCTTTCCGTAGTTTCTCTAAACCGGTACTCCATGCTGCTGCTAGAGTTGTCCAGGAGATGGGGAGAAGTAGAGCTGCTGCACATGTTGTAGACTTGCAAGATCTTGATGAAGGAGCTTATGTGAACAAGAATGACACTGTGGATTCATTTGATTCAGATATGAATGATAGCTCTCATCCTGAAGGTAATGAATGCTATTTATTCATTAATGTATTTGTTTTATTGGATATTTTATGGAATGATTAGGGTACTTAATATTGATTTTTGGTGTTCTTGATTATTTGCATTGGTAAATTGAATTTTCCTTTTGGATTACTGTAAAAACAATAATTTTTGTTTTGGTTGCATATAGGTTTCTTTAAAATTGGAGTTATACTTGAATTCTTTTTAGTTTTATTTGAATAGATCAAATATGCCTTATTTGGTGTACCCTGAGATTGGTTGGCTGAAATTGAATTTTGATCTCTAAATTGGAATCTATATTTGTAACTTGGGTTAGAGTCACTGAGAATTTGAGGAGCTCAAATCCGTGTAGTTATCTTTTTCTTACTCATTCTTACTCATTCTCATACATACTAGTAGTTATGATGAGCCTGCACTGAAAAGTCTAGCATCACTATTATTTGAATATTCACCCACAGTGATCACTTGCCTGGGAAGGTTCCTGTTTCAGCCCCAAAATGATGAGCATGCACTGAATTGTATGTCTTAGCAGAGATTTTTCCTTGATTTCTACATCTTCCTTGCTAATGACCCATGATGAACGAGTGGAACTGTCGAAGAGATTTCTAGACCTTAGACTCATTAGAGAGGATATTAATTTTTATGAGATTAATTTAATCTGATATCTTCCTAAAACTCTAGGATCACTGTTATTTGAATTTTTACCCACAATGATCACTTACCTGATAAGGTTCTTGTTGCGGTCCCAAAATATGGATCGAGTATCGACCGATCGATTCACCCGATGATTTGTAGGAAAATCGTAGGTCTTAGCAGAGCTTTTTCCTTGATTTCTACTTCTTCCTTGCCAATGACGTATGATGAACAAGTGGAACTCGTTGAAGGGAATTCTAGACCTTATACTCATTAGAGAGGATATTAAATTTTATAAGAATTAATTTAATCTTATATCTTCCTAAATAATAATTAAATAATTGACTCTAATAATAAAGTAATTTCCTCACATCACTCCCTTCCTGGTAAAAGAGTTTATACTCAAGCTTGAAGTTGAAATACTTGACAATGTAATCAACCTGGTGCAATCACAGATTCCTAAGTCGGGCATAGGGTAATGTAGGGTGTTTCCAATTGGATGTGTAGGATGAGTGTTTTTTAGGATAGAGGTTTTGTTTTGTGGAGAAGGTTGTAATTATGGTGGTTTTTACCCGAGATGTACTTTCTATTTTAGAAATAAAATTTGGGCCCTCTTTTCCTCCTTCCAATATCCATTAAGATACAGATGTAGCTTGACGGTTATCAAGGGGGTTTTAACGAGACATTTTTCCTATAAAAAAATGCCTGCCATGAAAGATTCCATTTGATAATACTATAATTGTGCCCCTCCAGTCGGGTGAAAATCAGCTAACCCTACTTCATCTATTTCGGCTTTCATCTGATTTGTAAAGAACTTATCACATTGGTGCCACCAAAGTAGGGGATTTTGTCCCATCAAAAGTCATGAAATCCAACATCGTATATTGCAGAACCACACCAGATTCTGTTGTCTCTGATTGATTTTCCTTTTTCTCTAGTTAACTCTCGCGTTTGTCAACACTACTGTTAATTCTTTCAATCCCTTTTTCATTATCAAAGTTCTGATTGGAAGTCTATAATTTTCTCATTTGCAACATGAACCGGTTTATCTTCAACTCTATTCATGCTTTTATTTTATATGAATATGATGGCTCTTTAAAAACCTCCCTCTTAGTAGTCCTTTGCCCTAAGGCAAGAACCAGCTAGCGGAAGGAGGAAAAGAGTACATCAATTTATTAATGATAAAGCACTTACATAAGACTTAAGAACAGTCCTACAAGATACATAAGACATAAAACACTCCTGTAACACCTTTCCTCTAAAAGATACAAACCAACTAAAACAACGTCTACAATCACCCAATTCCCTCATTCGCTACCTTGTCAGCCTCATAATTACAACTCCTAGGAATCCACCTGACAATAACCTGCTTTAGAGAAACAATTAGACAGAAAAACAGGGACAGAAATTTGATTATTGATCCAATCCACTGCTGGCTTTGAGTCACTTTCGATAATTAACCTACCCTTCGAAACCCATTCTGATGAAACAAAGATGTCAATGCCTTTTCTGATGGCTTTCAATTCTACTAGAATGGGGGTAGTAGGACCAATATTTTCTGAAAAAGAAATAAGTGTAACCCTATTCCAATCCCTGAGAATACCCCCTATTCCAGCCATCATCCCAACACAACAAACAATCACATCCACATTCATCTTAAAAAAGTCCATTGGAGGAGGATTCCAGCAGTACACAATGATGTTCAGAACCTTAGAAGCAGCATATTTGTCAGCCAAAGAAGGATCCCCAATTAAAGAATCTACCTGAATGGAGATTAGGGGGTACTTTGCCAAAAGCCATTTGGCTAATCTTAAACGAGCAGTGAAAAACAATAAAATTTTGTCCAACTTTCCTTTTTCAAAGATAATCGCGTTTCTTATCTTCCAAATTGACCAAAAGACAGCCCCTGGAATAAACTTCCATATAGCAGAATTAGGCCTCAAATTAGCCCATGAACTGAGCAGGTTGGGAGGGTCATGCGGTAGAGCTAGCCGAATACCCCAGTACCCTATAAGCTTAGTCCACAGATCCCAAGAAACATGACAAGAAATAAATAAGTGTTGAACTGATTCATCCCATTGATTACATAAAGGGCAGATAATGTTTTCCCCTATCTGAACCCATCTTCTCAACAATTCCACTCTCACAGCTAATTTTTGATGGGATAATTGCCAAAGGAAAGTCTCCACTCTAGGGGAACTAAACACAGCCATACACATTTATTCCATTGAAATGAATCATCAAGAGAAGAAGAAAGAGCTCTCCTACATGCTTTAACAAAAAACAACCCCTCACCCGAACCATCCCACAACAAACAATCCTCCAAAGGCTGACAAAGTTTAAAATCTTTCAGCCTATCCAGTAACTCTACCAACTGCTCAACCTCCCAATCATAAAGATTCCTCTTAGTCTTAATATTTCATTCACATCCATTCGAATCAAAACTCCCAAAATCAGCTACATTACCCACTTTATTTGAAGAAATGACAAAAATTCTAGGGAACAACATTTTCAAATGAAACTCCCCAAGCCACGAATCGCTCCAAAATGAAATAGATTTACCATTACCCATTTGAAGCTTTGCATGAGATCTAAGATAGCCTCCAATGGAATCATCCTTAATATAATTGTTCACAATTCCCCTCCATATCCAAGAGTCTTTTTGAGAGAGAACCTTTTTGATATCCATGGAATGGCAGCTCACATTGTGTTTGCCACATAAGAATTTTTTCCACAAAGAATTTTTATCATTAGCAAATTTCCAGACCCACTTACCCAGCAACGCTCGGTTTGTAAGTTTCAAATCAGCGACTCCTATGCCTCCACCACTCAACGGCCTGCAAATATTTTCCAACTCACCCAGTGCATTCTCTTCTTGTCAGCTCCCCCATAAAAAAATTTGACATCAAGGAATTTAACCTTTGACAAATAGTAAAAGGCATCTTAAAAATAGATAGGAAGAAGATAGGTAAGGATGATAATACCGACTTAATAAGAACCAGTCGACTAGCCATAGATAACGATGTAGCTTTCCAACCTGCCAATTTCTTATTAAAACTGTCAATAATCGAGTCCCACAGCTTCTCCGAGTTCCTTATCGTCCCTAAAGAAAGACCTAAATAAACCGAAGGAAATGTACCAATAGAACAACCAATATCCCTATCCCAATCTTTAAGGATATCACTCTCTACATTAATATCAAAAAGTTTACTTTTACCTAAATTGATATGGAGCCCTGTCATCAAGCTAAAAATCCTCAAAACTCTTCTAACATTCTTAATCTGAGAAATTGAAGCTTGGCAGAAAATAATTAAATCATTTGCAAACTGAAGATGGGACAAATTAAATGAATTATGATTCTTTCCAAAAGAAAACCCTTGAAAGAGACCGGAATCCACTGCTTTAGACAACATCATATGTAGAAGTTTCCCAACCACATTAAACAGCAAATGAGAAAGGCTACACCCTTGCCTTAAACCTTTAGCAATGGGAAACTCTTTTGTAGGAGACCCGTTCACTATAACCGATATTAAAGCTGTAGAAATACACTGTGTAATCCAAGAGCACCACCTCTTACCAAAAGCCATCTCTTTCATTAACCTTAGAAGAATTTGCCATTCCACTGTATCATATGCTCTGCTGAAATCCACTTTAAATACAACCCCTTTAAGCCCTTTTTTTTTATAGAAATAATAGGCCTCATTAAAAACCCCTTGAAGCCCTTGTTTCCTCCAAAAATCAATTCCTTCATTAGCTAGACAAGCACAATCTAGAAGTTGCCTCCCCGGTATAAAAGCAAACTGTATAGGGCTAATAATGTCATTGACACAAGATAACAGTCTCTTTGAAAGAACTTTAGAGAGTATTTTATATAGGCTTCCCACAAGACATAAATGTGATTTTTTGAATTATTGGGAGAAATATAATATTGGAGCCAAACTTTACAAGAAGCGCATTGATAATACTTTATGTGCGTATTATTATTTCCATTTCCACTTTTAGTGTCTCCTATCCTTGCACATTCAAGTTTATGTCTTTTATGCATTTGCTTGTGTGCTTGTAGGTAACTTTTACTCAACATTTGAAATTACAAGTAGCATTTATTTAAATGAGTTTTCAACCTCATTACATGTTCATTCTTAAAATATTTATAATATGGTTGGTAATAGAGCTAATGGGACACAAGTTTCCCTTATCCCCCCTCTCCAACCTCCATGGATTTCTTAAACAATCATATCCTCCTGGTCCTGCCAAAAATATTGTTTTT